TAAGGTCATGTTGATTTTCCGGGCAAGTAATTTCATTATATAAGACACAAACGTCTGCAAACAGACGAATTTGCACAGATGAACATACCACACTTACAATGTCATTTATATACAGCAGGAACAGTAGGGGCCCCAAGACACTCCCCTGCGGTGCTCCAGAGGCGACAGGAAGACAACCCGATCGCTGATCCCCAATTTCTACGTACTGAATTCGGTTTTTTAAATAATCAATAACCCAGAAAACTAAGATTCGAGGAAGATCAATATTGTTCAATTTTAGTATTAGTCTGTCATGAGGAACCCTATCAAACGCTTTACTAAAATCCAAGAATATCGCATCAGTTTGACCGTTCTTATCTAGAGTAGATGCAAAGGAATTAGATATAGTGAGCAGTTGAGTCACAGTTGAAAACCCTTTTCTGAAACCATGTTGAGAATCAGTTAAGACAGCATTTTTTTCAAGATATTCGGTGATATGATGCGGGATTATATGCTCAATTAATTTACAGCATGCTGATGTTAAGGATATTGGACGATAATTTTCAAAAAGCAAGCGGTTACCTTTTTTAAATACCGGTGCAACTCGGGCTGCCTTCCAGTAACTAGGGAGCTTTGAAGATATCAAAGATACGCGGGATATAATCACAAGATATTTCGCTATCACTTCAGCATATCGGCAAAGAAAGGTGTTTGGAATATTATCAGGACCGCTTGATTTCTTAGTTTTCAGTTTTAAGAGCATGGAAAATACACCCGGGTACGAAACAAAGTCAGCCTTTGTCGTGTGAAACGATGGAACATCAGATGGATATACACTTGGGCTAGTAAACACGCTATGGAAGTATATATTGAAATGCTCAGCTATAGTCTCTTTGTCCGTAACAATAGATTCATTTACTAACATTTCGGATACAGTCTTTTTTTTATCCGTCAAGTGGTACCAAAATTTTTCAGGGTCATTTTTTATGAAGTTTGGTAGAGTTGTTTGGAAATAATAATCCTTAGAAGAACGTACAGCTTGTGCGAGGCTAGCCTGTAATGGTCCGAATTTAGTCAAATCCGCACGCTTTTTTTTTAGACGTTTAATTTTACGTTTCAAGTGAACAATACCACGCGTATCTTTGGTCATTCTGTTTTTATTTTGGTCCTGTTTTGTTTAACTTGACTTTATGCAGGAGGGTTTAGCACACGGGTGTGATGATGCTGTTGGGATATCCAACATCCTTTAGTCTTTTAATCTGGTTTTTAAGGCTTACCTCATCCTTGTGCTCACATGACTTCTGAAGGGTGGCCTCAATGCACGTGGTAACAATTCCTCTGTGTAAATTGTGTAAATGTGTAATTATGTGTTATGATGTGCTAAAAAAGATGTCCCAAGAATCAGAATAAGTGACAGTAGTCAAAGTTTTTGTCACTGCCTTTATACAAATACCAGTTTATTTGTTGCCTCCTGCAGTATTTTAGGGCCTCTTATATAGATAGGATGTTTTCTCACTTTTATTACATTTTCGTACTGATGATGCCATATGCTCAGGAGATAGAATGTCGTTATGTTCTTTCTGATAACTTCTAGCTTCTGAGCAAAGATAATGTTTCAGAAAAATGAAAAAAAAAAAGACTAGCAAAATATTAAGACATGGGAAGAAAGCAGAGTTTATCAAAAAATGAATGCATTAGTTGGCAATGAGAAAAAAAGATGAATGACAGGTCAGTAATGTCAATTAATTTATATTAGGACACATGAAATGTAGCAGAGGGTGGCAGGTGATTAGTTCCAATGAGATCGAGAAATTATCAGCCATAATATGAAATTGGCTCATACAGGACAGGGAACATTGGTTGGGCTTCCACCCTGCAGTGGACATAATATACGCTTAACGCTAACAATAAGCAAAGCCTGTGAAATTAATGCTCCATGAAAGAAGCAGTACTGCACAGATTGCTGTGCTAGACTTCCCATTTTGCATGTTTTTACCAGCTTATGCTGCTCGCTGTTCAGACAGAAAGCTTCACCGGAAAAACAATGTTATACTTGGTGAGGATAATGCCAGTGAAACCAGTGTTTTATCTACACCTTTCCTTGCTTAAGTCCTCCTCCAAACTATACGATTTTTCTTAGCAATGTTCAGCTTACAGCACACCAACCGATCAAGTGAAACAACTTTATTGGGGTCCTGCAGGACGCGCCCTAGTATGCAATCACCATTTCACTTCACGTTACAACATACTGGTGGTAAAAATATTCTCTGGCAGGGTACAGAAGTGCATGCAATAAGCTAGGTTGTGCAGCGTGGTCTATTCCATAAAGCTGAACCTGTGTTTGGTACAGAATTTTGTAACCGCACTCTGCTTGTACAGGATAAATGTGGCCACACCTAGCAACTTCTGAGCTTTTTCATGAAATGATCTCGCAGTATCTGAAAATATTTGTTTTTTTGTTTACTTCATAGTTCCCAGTGAAATATTTCTCTCGTTCCTCTCATTGAATAATGACATTTGGTGTGACTTAGGTGTTCCTTATGCCTCACTATGAGATCGGAAAAACGATTCTCCTTGAAATTGCTTCACAAGCATTTCCTAAGATATTGAATGAGACTGCTTGCACATGTACAAACATTTCCTAGTTTTATTTAGGGTTGATGATAAAGGGAATCAGTTGGTGCATCCAAGCCGGACAGAGATTGACTGGCCCTGAAAAGGGCCGTTTAGTTATATATTGTTACGGGTAACTTATTTAATAAATTAAATACGATGCACTGTGCTCGGCGAACAAGATGGCGACAGTTCATGGTTCATGGACAGTAGAACCCAACGTTACTAGATCCTGGTAGAACCAGTAGCAGCTGCATGCCCGGATGGAGTGACTGATGCCCGGATGGAGGAATGTCAACCCGATGCCTTCTGTGTTGGCCGTTCTGGCAGTTCCGCCGACCGTATAGAAAAAGACGACCCCGTCGCTTGTCCTCTTCTCTTTTCCTTCGGGCATCAGCGACAACATTGACGGACGACGTGTTCGACTTCACCGTGCACGTGAGTATAGGTTGGTTTTTCATTCGAGTGAATTCTTGTTCAGATTTGCAACTTGTCGACTTCATCGTGATCACCTGTCGCCGCCAATAAGTCACATACGTGCGATATTTTGGTGAAATAAATGATAATGCACATTTTCTGCTCCATTTGCGTGACTTAGCTACACCAGGACGTGAGGTAAAGCCTTTGTCGCCTAGCCACTAGCAGGCAAGATCGATCACTCGCATCCTTCAGTTCACGAATCAACGCGCCTGCCTTAAAATTAGTAAGCTGCTCGCAAAGAAATCTCACCGAGGCAATTTTGTTTTCTGTGAACAATGCACCGTAGATTTGTCTTGAATAACAAAAAAAAACTTGAAAAATAAATGTCGCGACCTTGTAGAAAACGCCGTGTCTAAGGGCTATGTTATATTCAGTTTCGGTTTTTACTTTGTGTTCTTTCACCCCCAGGGGGCGCGTCTGTTCTTTATATATATATTCGATGTGTTGCGTACAATCACGGAGGAAGGAAAAGGTAAGGAGAGGCCCTGACGTCACTCGTTGTGAAGCCGCGATGAAGCCGGAAGTCGGCCATATTGAGTAGGCAAATTCTCCTCTCTTGTTTACATATGAATGCGACGCAGAAGGCGCGACTCCCTCTCCGGCTCGGAAAGCACGTGGGCTGCGCAGCGCGTGTGTCGTGACGATCCGAAACTAATGGAACTGGGCTCATCACTCTGAGCCAGCGGGACACCTTCAGCGAAATCGCTTCGTCCGAGTAATAACAGGGAGTAACAGCTCACCGACAACGAAGCAACTACGAGAGAACGCGCGCTAGATGCACTGACAACGGCGAGTGCTTTCACGTCATTAATTCAGCAACTGTACAGACAACACGATCAGTCGTGCGCCTTCTACGGTTGCATTCCGCCACGCGGCCGACGCAGCGTCCTGCCACTGTGTCCGTGTTCCGCATGAAAATCACCGGCGTCAGCATTCTGCGACCGTGGTGACTGAGCACGGTGCTTGTGACAGTTGAACGTGGTTGCTGTTACGTTGAGATTACATGCAATGCTGGTGGAGAGTGTATTAAGCGGAACAGAAAAGGTGTTTTAATACGCACATGCAAGTTGTTACTGTACACACACAACACGAAACTACGTATGTGCACATGGTCCTCACGGCGTCTTGCTGGGCTCAACAGCGCCGTCCGTTGTCACAAGCAGGAGCACTGCTCAACCGTCACTGACCTGCAAGGCGTTCGTCGTCATTCAGCTTCGTCATGATGCCCAACGTAATTTCGCTGAACACTAACTGCTTCATCCGCGTCATCCGCCGCACGACACATGGATATGCACTTGTTCTACGCACTGTTGAAACCCCGTGATGGACAAAGGGATTTGTAAACGTTGCTAAGAGTAATGTAACAGCCAGGAGAACACTGCGTAACCAATAACGCGGTGCAGAGCACAGATATTGTCCGCCACAGCTCAGCACGAGACCTGGGGAGGCACACATTCCGCCGCCAGCCGCGGCCGCTCACTGCTAGACCAGCTCCACTGCGCAACACGTAACCATAGCAACGCCGCCATTGTGCCTACTGAATATGGCCGCCATAATGTCATTTCCGCCACACTTTTTACGCCCTGCGCCGGCTGGGCATGCCCTCTCCTTACCTTTTTCCTTCCTTCCGTGCGTACAATAAAGGTCTTTGTGGAGATCAGTGGGTCTTTTTTTAATACGGTGGTGCTGCCGGTGTTTCTTACGTCTTTCGCAAACACCATATTGGCGACGAGGATGGGATGAACACGTCAAGCTACCTTCAGCATCGAGTGTCGTCCGGGTCCGCCCCGCCATGAGTTTCTCCGGCCTTGCTCCGCCGCCGCCGTTCCTTCCAATGCGCGGCCGGCGCATTTGTAATCTGCAGTAGGTTCAACGCATAGCAACCGCAGCGGCGCGCTATTGGTCACACTCTCGCAGGGACGCCGCCACGACGTGCGCCTAGCAACGGCCTCCGCGCCGTACTCTCGTTTCCAGGTTGCGCCGTCGCCCTGTTGCGCCCGCGAAACACGCCGGCCAAACATGGAGGAAAAAACAACTCAGTGCGCGCCACGGAGGAACTTCCTCTGTGGTGCGCGCCGACTGCGCATTTTTACGTGCGGCATGTTCGGCGCCTGCGCGTTGTCGCCACTTCAAGGAAGCCAATATAGGAAAACACGACGCTCCGTGCACCTTTGTTTCTGGTAGGAGCAGCTCGGAAAGAGTTGCCAGTTTAGTTTGTAGTTTGACTGTGATGCTGCTAAGGCACTGTACCACCGAACATTAGGGCTTATGATCTGCCCTGCCCGTCCGTCGAGATGTCTAAGCGCGTTTGGACGCCATCGAGGAACGACGAGGTACCGCACATCACGAAGTGGAAGTATTGTAGGAAAAAGGAAAATGAAAAAGAAATACTGTGTTGTGGGCGCCTTCTGCACGCAAACTTCTGCCTTGTCGTGAGCACTTGTGTTTCGCGTACGTGCTCGTCAACTACAAGCAACCGCATGTGAGTGCCCGCGCGATCTGCAGAAACTCGCATTTATCTGGTGAGTTCAAGCTACGTTTGCGTAACGCGCTTGTGCTCTCTTGCTGTGAACTTTTTTTTTTTTTTGAAGTAAACGCCTGGCGTCATACTCCAGACCAGCGTTATTTTCTTCTCTAGGAATGAACTTTTCTTATGTACGCGCTGGTGTGAGGCCAATAAAACAAGCGCGAGAGAGGCGGCAAGCCGCTTGAAGAGCTCTGTTCAAAGGATCCTTCACAGGATGGTCGACATTCTCCTCGCCATGAGTCTATCTGACAGAACGACTGTCCAGTGAATTAAGGATGGTAGGTGCGCAAAGTATTCTTTTTTAAAAACAATTTGTACTCCAGGAAGTTTTGTACTAAAAGTGTATTACTGCATGTATGCATTAAAGTGCAAACTGCATGAACTGAAACTCCTTCCAACGAAAGCTTTAAATTTTAAGCGATCTGTAGCTATGAAGGCAATTATTCAGCATCTGTATTAGAAGATTAAGCAAAAATATTTATCCTATAATATTCAAAATAACATCACTTTCAATAAAACTTCCAAAAGTATGTCAACAAAGCTGAGCCATTTGCTTCACGATATGCAGCACATCCTTCTATGTTCCTTCTTACTCAGACTTTTAAAGATCGCGCGGTGTTGCGAAATACACACATTGGTTTTAGCAAGCGGTTTTCAGCAATGAGCGTCCTAATATAAAACAGTTTTGGCAGCTTAAAGGAAACAATATGCCAGCTTGTTTGCCTTAAGTGCCACACCGTATTGTGGCTGTTTTCTATTGCCTCTGATGCTTCATAACTTATGCATTAATTTTGCTGACTAGGAGTACACCCAGGTGGAATGGTAATAGCGCACTAAAAATGAAGACACACAGAAGGCATACACACACACACACTTTTGGAGTAGGAAGACCTAGATAATGGTGGTCCAGCACGGGGTGCCCAATGGAACCAATAATCTTGTACCAGTGATATGCCTAACAATGTTGAAGATTTTATGAGCGGGTTGGGAGAAATAGAGCAGAAAGGTGCTGAAAGCTAACACTAATGAAAATAGCAGATGTAATTAAAATAAATACTTTCATTTGTAACTGGCTATTTTTTTACATATGGTGCATATTTATTCACTTCAAACAGTAAATATCATTGACAATAAGCAAAACAGTGTGCCACAAACAAATATTTCTTCATACACAAAACCTGTGCTTTTAGTAACTCACTCAACGCATCTTCCAGTCTCTCAGATGTTTGATTGCTTTTTGCTCACCTTGGGTAAGTCAGTGGCATGCTTGAGCAGCTTTTCTTTTTATGTAAGAAAGCCTTTTAAAAGCAAAGCATTTCTTTAAAGAACAAAGGCACTTTGAGCATTTATATCTATCTAGAGGCCTGCATCTGGCTGTTATCGAGCTCACCTCCTTAACTTGGTACAACTGAAAAAGGCACAGCGGGGAATGACAATATGACGAACATGACTGTCTGGTTATGACATGTATACAATGAGTGTCCTGTTATGTACGTCATGAAACCCTTTTTTCCAGTCACAGGCAGCATAAGCCGGTACACTGTGGTTTGCGTTGCACGTGATGACAGTTTATAAATATTGGCAAGTTAAATTTGAGCAATTTAAATAAAATCTGGCTTTGGCACCATTGACCAAAATAATACAAAGAATGACAATTGGGCTACTAGCAGGAATCAAAATCCGGTATTCTGCACAGCAGTCAAGTATTTTACCACAGAGCCACGGCATGTCTTGAGACGGCTTTTGAAAAAAGGTTCTATGCAGGCATCATATCAGTGTAATGTTAACTATGGCTGTAGGGCCGGCACTGTAGTCTGATTAAAAGGTAGTAAACTTGACATATGTGTACTTAAAATACAGCTGTCATGTTGGGTTAATGCCAATTGTGGTTCCGGGGTGGCCTCCACTTTTGCAAGTCATAATAAACATTTCATATGACTCGGTAAGCTACATTCAAGTGTTGCTCGACCACGTAGGAATATGCTAATGAACAATCTTCACATTGTTGTACCATAGCATGCACTTTGTTGTGATGAAACTGGCAGCTGTGCTGTAAGATTAGTGCCGATGTGTCAGACCATAAGTTACCCTCTGAACTCCTGTGTAGTTAACGTTTTTGGTAAGTCCTTGATGAGCACGAAACTGCTAGATTTATCAAAACACATTCATTCATGCAATGACACTTGGCTCAATGCCAAATATTGTATCATAGGCATCATCATTATGGACTACTTTGCATGAAATAGATTGCCACAATGTGCGAAATCTTAATTTTCCTTCCCGAGTTCCTTTCTGTATCTTTTTTTCTTCGTGTTTAACCACCTCTGTTTCTCATGTGCAGTGCTTGATTATTTTTTTAACTTTCGAAAGAGCTCCAGTCAACGAAAAACAATCTCATTTTATTGTACTCTTACAATTGATACAGTGTTGGCTTTAACAGTTAGTAGAAGGAAACAACAGCCTTGTTATATACATTGCTATATCTTTCACTACACTAGCCTGTTCATTGTTAGTGTTTTCTCATCATTGCAGACAAAAGACATCAGTAAAAGAAGGCATATTTAAGACAACGCATAGCACTGTGATGTCTTGAATGTGGCTTCTTTTGTTGATGTCCTTTGTTTGCACTACCATCAATTGTCATGCTACCATGCCAACTAGCCCAAATCACCATCCTCACAAATCACAGTATATGCATAGTGAACCACAATTCCCATTTCAGAACACTTGAAATAATGTAGCACAAGATTTATCAAAGCACTCGCTGCATGTGTATGCGCTTCATTTAGATGTAGAGTGCATCAGATCTTGTACTGGCATCAATGTCTTTTCTTGTCACCTGCAGTATCATCCCTCTCGTTTGGGTCGGCCTAATATGCTCCACGAAGGAGGGCACTTTATGCTAATGAGCTCCAACTTCTTAGCACTACCTTGCTTTGTGCATTGTTTCAAGTCATGGATTTATATAACAGGGTAGCAACAATCACAACTGTGCATATTTTTGATAGTTGACAGTACTCATAACAAACAATCAAAACCCTCAAAAGCTTCTACCTAACAAGTTACAAATTTGTGAGGAGGGAATGCAACTAGCACTTCCAATATTGCATTAATAATGGTACTATTGACAACAAATGAAGAAAACAAAGCACTAAGCCATCAAAAGTGTTTACAAGATTCATATTACATCCTTTAAAAAATTAACCATGAAATAATGCGGCAACTTGGCATGCTATTGTGCTGCTATCATTTGGGAATCCCATACTGGCACTCTTTGACAGGAATATACACATTTCTGTGGAAACATCCCTACGTCGATCACTTGAATTTCATGCTTTATAAATTGCTCATGATTTTAAAGGAAAAGTTATGAGAATATGATAACAGCTGATAGTTTTTGCATAGCTGTCTACCGCTGGCATGCACAATAAGGAAAGAAATGTTTAAGATTGTGTGCGATTTTAATCTGGGCAATCCACGTGGCAGTCAAGTGTTTTACTACAGGGCCATGCTTGTGCTTGAAGCTGCTTTTCAAAAATATCCAAATCAGGTGTCGTATAAGGTAAGGAACCACATCAACACAGGTTATATAGTGTGCTAGAGGAATAAGACAACAAGGTGCCATACATGGCAAGTTACTTAACAAGTGGGTGATTAAAGCTGCCCAACCATTACAAATGGCTCAGCCATAATTTTGTCATCAGCTAGAGCATCAACAAAGTGCATATAATGCCTCTTCAGTGTGTATTGTACCTCACTTCTCCTTAAAATCATTACGTAGAACGTATTTCTTACGTTGCAAAACACAGATTTATTGCATGCGTTTTTCTGTTTCTTGATGACTAATAAAAGTGGACAATTTAATAATTAAGAATAACTGTTCATTCTACCAGATGCCATAATTTCTAGTATGAATCCAGGTACTCAAGATCAAATCATCTGCCCGAGTCTTGGCCAATTCCCCTGGGTGGCTTGGTTCCAATCATCTAAGGAGCATAATTATCAAGATTAACATATGTATTATTTCAAGTACCACATATTTTGCTACACCCTTGTAACTTCTTGCCACAGTCAGATTTTTATGAACCAAGTGCGTCAGAAAATTGGGAAATTTCAACTCGTTTTTCTGACCCAAGGTAGCTGCCATTTTGTTTATCCCCACATGTGTACGAGCACTCATGAAACTTGAAACGACTCCCACAAGTTGCATACACATACGAAATGTGTTAAAAAAATAATGTTTTTCACACTTTCACTGTTTGTGGTACTACATTTGAAGCATTGCTTCCCTCAAACTACTCCCCTCTACTGGCAATACAGTGTCGCAATCATTTCTTCCATTTTTGGTAAGCTTCCTGGAACGCACTAATGGCCTGGAAGTATCTTCTTGTATTGTCCAGGACCTTCTGTATTGTTTGGAAATGGCATCTGTCAATGTAGTTTATGTTTGGAATAAAGAAAATAAAATGAAATTTCATGACATTAACCTATTCTAACACCCACTTCGTCAGAAATTTCTCCAACAGTCAATAGAGATATCCTCAAATCACTGCACGAACTCTTAACGTGGTTATTATCTGTTTATGTACAATGTCGTCCAGGCTTGACATCGTTGTCGATCTACATTATGTCATTATCAGAATGCTTGAACCACTCATAGCACTGAGTACAACTTCTATAATGCTCCCCGTATGCTTCATGATGCAACCAAATCTTTATGTGAAAGTTTTCCCAAATTTTAGCTGTACTTCACACACACACACATCATTCTTCCAGCTCTTTGCCATTTGGGCACTAATTCAAAGAAAATCTTGTCCATGTGCTCACTTTAGCGGCTGTAGCGTGCAAACCAAAGGTCAGAGTGAAACAGGGCTAATGACAGTTCTGGTTGAAACTTGCCACTATGTGGAATTAGTAGCTGCAGCCCGCTCCTTCTGGTAGTTGGCGAGCTATCAGAAAAGTTCAATACTTTTTACAGTGAAAGCTGTTATGTCATCACAACTCGGGTCACGTGCAGTTGTCCGCCACTGCCATCGGTGTCCTTAACCACATCGCTCGAAATTAAACCTACCACCAATGACACAGTATGGCTCGAACCTGGGTCCGCTGGGTGCCAGCCCAGTATTCCACCACTGAGCCACACCGGTGCTTAGGACTTGTTGGCAAACTTGCCTTAGGAAGGCTTAATGTCGGAAAAGCAATCCCGTTAATACGACTTTCAAAGCGTTTTAAAACAGCAAAAGAACAACCAGTCGCCGCACAATGCGAATAGTGTAACGAGGGGGTCATCCAATACTACAACCAATTACAAAAGTTTGTTCTTGTTCCCCTATTAACTGTGGCACAGACCCACTTCAGCTATTATTCCTCATCGTACTCAGCCACTGCATGAACAATTGGCTCAAAATTCTTTGCAAGTGTTTAGCGGATACACGCTTCTCAGAAAAATGACGAAAAATAGCATAGTGAATGTCGACTTACTACCCAAGAAATTTTATTATTAGTACCCTAGTGGGTATCATGCATCTTTGCTTGCAGTAGTTACCCAATGAGTGTTTTGAAAGGCTTTGAAAGGCCGCTATTCTGGTTTTTGCTGTGACTGTGCTCCGTCTTCTGCGCAGGCCTGGCATTTTTTTTAACACAATTCATACGTCCTGTTGTATCCCTCCATATTAGCTTTAGATACCAGCAAATCATCACCATTCATAATTTTTGAGTTATTATTTTATGTGCACGCTAGGTCAAAGGCTTCTGCCAATAATATGCAACTAACCCTATTCTGTGGGATCTGGTTTCACTTTATGTGAGTGAACTTTCAAATTTTGTGACTTTATCGATCCACTGCCATCCTTGCCTATGGCATTCATCCCTTGGTATCTATACTGTAGCTCTAACTGACCTGTGGTTATCTGTCCTGCACAATGTTGAACACAAGTACCTTCTCAAGTGCAGTTAGATTAGCAGAGTTATTTCAAAATTTGGAAAACTTCGAGTGGAATATAATTGACCTTAGAGATATTAGAACTGGAAAGGCACATACAGCACTAATGGGCACACTGCTACAGAGGGCTTTTCGATAAAAGAGTGCGGCATAGGGCTTCTAGTTCACAAAAACATTGCCGGAAACATTCAAGAATTGCATATTGTCTGTGAAGGGCCAGCAATCCTAGTCATCCAGCTAAATAAGATATAAACTTAAAGTGGTGCAGGCGTTTGCTCCCTCTGTTTGGCCTTTACTATGAAGAAGCAGTAATAGGCAAGTATATTGAATATGCAATGCAAGAGAACTATACTCAGTGCACCATAGTCATGAAAGACTTCAGTGTGAAGATAGGAAACAGAAAGGTGAGATGATGAGCTACAATATTAACTTTAGGGTTGAAACTAGAACTTTATCTTGGATCAAGTAGTGCCATATAGCGGCGAAAAATATCAAATAGAATACTAAAGGTTTTATTGACAATTAAAAGAAATAACTAAGAAAATCAAATTTGCTCATGTCCTCGAGCACACAGCATGGTGAGAAACTGCTGTCGAACACATTGTCATGAAGAAACAAAAGTCATGCCTCATTACAAGTCTTCAGGCTCTCGTCGTGATCTCATGATGTTTCCAGCAGCCAAAAAACCTGCGGTCGCTGGCCACCTCAGTAGATGAGAACGTATCAGAAAGCAATTTTTGTAATACCTGTATGAAGTGCAGTTCAAAACTCTTTCCAGTATTTCAAACCTTTCTTTTGTTCACAAGCTTAGTGCAGTAATTTTTAGTTTCTTGACTAGATCTGACTTTTTTTTTGCTTGCAATACAACAGTCTTCCATTACGTTCCCTGCCTTTTTTTGCTGGAGCCACGACATGCAGGAATGGCATAATCTCAAGGGAAATATGTGCTGGCTTTAAAACCAGGGTATCAGTGAGAGTTTTAAAGCCTACTGTAATGACTTTCGCATTAGTTTTTTGGACACCACCCTAACAGAGTTGTGCAATTAGGCTGTGTTTAGACACTTTAGATATTTTCCTGTATTTGAAAGTTGAACCAAAGCACTCAATTATAATTCTAAACAAGAATATTCACACACCCTTAAATAATACACATGTTAGAAGAATGAAATGAACTCCACATAATGAACACCTTTTTCTGAAATTAAATAAACAGGAAGAGGATATGGAAAGTCCTCACAGAGAAACAGAGTGGTAGATTTTATATAATCCTGGGACCCAGGCAATGCACATGAGAGAAGTTAGGGGCAAGGTAGAATGTAATTATCATAGGCTAGTGAGGGTAGCCCTCAATGTGAGAAGACCAAGAGCCAGTTGATTTATTCATTCAAAATACCATACATGCCGATAGGAGGACATCAGTAACTGAAAGACAGATAAAAAATACAAGGAAAAAACAGTAAAACAAAAACTACAAATGGCAAGGGACAATAATGTCACACAATACCAATATGTAACGAATCAGATTATCACTGAAAGTCTACTAAAAATTTTATAATTACAGTTAGATGCAATGTGATACAAAAGACTGATTCAAATATGCAAGTGCCTAGGTTGTAATGACAACTTAAATGCCTGCGTGTAACCATGAGTGCACATGAAACTAATTGTGCTGTGAATGTGCCAAGACGTGTACACAGGTGGATAAAGCAGTACTAAAATTCATCACAATACTCTACCAGTGAAAGAGACACATAAGAGCAGTGATGTGGCTGGGCCATGTCATGCATAGTTTACTAAAATTAACTAGAGGGGCTCTGGCACAGTGATCGTTCAGCGACCCTGGGAATGATGGGTAGTACACAGATTTGCCTACTCTTCGTACTTGCGGGTGGCGAACCCCACTTGTGGCTTCATTTATTGCTGTTTTCGGTTTTGTTTCAAAGAAAAGAAACTTTTTTGAACTTCATGACCTGATTTGAAATGGTAAGCCTAGAAGAATAACGTGGTGAAGTGCCATCACTGAATATTTGCTGATTTTCGTTTTGTGAGAAAACAGCTCCAAGCCACACGAATACACACAAATCCAGATGTATGAAGATTGGACGAATCCGTGTACTACGCACCATTCCTTGCTCGCTGCTTTGCCATGCATGGTAGTTGCCATAGACACTATCGCCAGAGTTCTCTCTAGTGTATATTTAGGAAACTCTATGGTGTCATGTTTTATTGTAGGTGAATCTGCCTGCCCTATTTGTAATGGCTTCCAACATATGGACTAGATAATCTCGTTATGGTGACCATCTAGATGAAGCTTACTCTAAATGTGGGTAAAGATAAGATATGATAATGCATATACATTAGAAGATGCATTGCACAAGTTTCTGTGGAGGTAACCTGCAGATTGAGCTTTTGCTGAGATAGCTGCTACACGCCGTAGTATAGGATAAATCTGATGAAAGGTAAACACAAAGATATTTATTTGTATAAAGGGGCAGCTGAAATAATGGTATTGTTAATCGTACAATGAGTGAGTTCTGCCGAGTTGCACTCTACCTGAACATCAAGTTAAGGTCATTTGAGAAATGAAATGATCATCAAAAAAGAGAAAGAAAAACTAGCCCATAAAGTAATACTGCAATAGGTGATAGACGTGTTGTCATGTAACTAAATCAAGGATGAAAGGTCAGCGGGTAAGTCCTTAAAGGGGCCCTGCAACACTTTCTTTTTTAGCATTGTCAGAAAACGCTGCTGATTGGTAGTCGCAGCTCCCGAAAGCACATGAGCCAAACATTAGAGTGCAGCATGCAGTCTAAAATTCACAATTAATTTTCAAAGTCGGCCAGCAATTGCTCCCCCGTCTCTCTACAGGTGATGCCTTATACCTGGATTACTGTGTCATACCCGAGTCCACAGCCATTGACTGATTTGAGCATCATAGGCTATGCAAATACTGTGGCCACTGCAACTGCTGCCATGTGCCAGCGCTTGTGCTCACCCTGAAAGTAGCCATGCATTCTAAGAAAAAAAAGGAAAGTGCTCAAGGTCATGACGTGCGCTGACAAAAGGGTGCTGTGCATCTTTTCGCCCCCTTGTGTCCCTACCCAAGTTGCCTTCAGTGCACTCGCTTTTACGAAAAGAGAAAGCGCTTGAAGTATTCAGCAAATTCCTCGAACTCCGCTTGTAATCGGCATATTCAAAAAAATATTTCGGTATGTGATTTGTGAGGCATCATGAGCCAACAGTGACATCCATTTCAAAAGTGTTGCAGGGCCCCTTTAATGTATATTAGAAAGAGTAACCGACTTAGCACACTGCCTTGGGCAACACTGCAGGTGATGTCGAAAACATTAGATGAGATGTAGCTGACCACCAAGAATGAAAGTTTTTGTAGCCAAGATGGTGGTAATGAAGGAATACAAAGGACAGACAATGTAGAAATCAAATGGTAATTAGTTTGAATATTGAACGCACAGCGAAATCAAAGAAGGGGAAATTGGTTATATCGTTTGTGTCTAGATTACAGTGAATATTAGTCATGAACCTAAATAACTCAGTGTAACATGAGTAACCTTTTCTGAAGCCATGCCGACTAAGATAAAAGTTATTAGTTATAACCACTAAGAAACTGGCCCACTTAGGTAAAATTAGGGCAAGAAATATTTGCCGAGATCGACTAGCGTGAATCCAGGATAGCCCTTAAAAAATAGGACGATGTACTAGAAAACGGAAATTATAACGACATAGAGAGAACGAACGAAATGAAATGGTTTCTGTAGCAGCAATGGTGCACAGAGGTAAGAAGCGAACTAAATTCTTCCCAACTAGAAAAAGCTTAATAGGGGCAACACATGAAGCTGACAAAATGAATGCATAAAATAAAATTTGTTGAACTAACAACGTTGGTCAATAAGAAAAAGAGAGTTACATAACCAGAATGCAAAAATGGCGAAGCAGCATCAAAAAAGAAAAAAAAAACATGGCAGCATCAAAGCAGCTAGAAGAAAAATGTTAAGGCAGAACCAAAATGCATGCATAAAATATACTCAGGGCAGTGACAGTGAAAGTGGCTGAAGACATACTCCACTAAGCTGCAGACGACCTGACTACAGTAACCTGATTGAGCCGCTATTTCGCAGGACGTCTTTATCAATGCTAGAGCCTTTTCGTCTTTAGTCGTGGCAGAGCAAGAAAACACAAGTTGTCAATGGCAGAGACATTACGAAACACGGAGGTCTGTGAAACAAGCAACCACGCACTGCGAACGCACCGTTTCAGGGCGCCCATGTTGCTTGTGTGTTGGTTTATCTTGACTCGGATTTTGTCTCCAAAGCTTGTGTAAATGTAAAAAAAAATTTTTTATGTTGCGTATACATTTTTGAAATGCCACACAAAATTGTGAATAGTAGTAAGTAATAAAATAAGAGTTATAATTTTAAAGATTATTGTGAACGTTAGCAGGTAAAAGTTTGAAAGTCTGAAAATAAAAGCATTTGCATCATCATCGACATCACCAGCAAAGTGCTGAAAGTGATGGCAGTATGTAAATACGGCATCTGCGTACACTCGCGGATGACTCATGTGGCGTTTGCACATACAAATTTGCAGTCATTTCGTGATTTATGGTGCAGAAATACGCTTCTGATAACCAGGTAATGTTTAGCATGAGTGTGAAAATAAACAAGTATTTGTACAAGCTGATTTTGGAGCATGGAGAGAGCCCCAACCAGTCACGAAAACAGGAGTACAGGTTTGTGCTTGTTTTGCTACCAGTAACCAACTACTGCCCTGTTTCTCGAATAATGACAAAGGCGGCAGACTGCAGAATCCTCGGGCACGCTGCAGACGTATTTAATGTGCAGAATTAACTCCGCTTCTAATAAAAAAAGTTACACGATATACGTCAGTCTTGTGCCACACGAAAGCTGTTAGGGGTGCCAAAAAAATCGGAACGCTTTTCCTCAAAAATTGAATTGACCATTAAAAACGTGTTGGCTGACCCTGTTGCGTTACCTAAAAACAGCGCTGCTAACTGATTCCTTCAGGAAAGCACGATTAATTCTCATCAATAATGTGTTTGAAATAAGTGCGGCTACTACTGTCTGTTGCAGAACTAGATGAAAAACCCGATTTTGGTACTGCGTAACATGTTACCTTGATGTGTTTGCAGTTCAGTAGTAGCTGTTTTCTCAAGAAACTCGTGCAGGTGCTTTCGTAAGTTGCATCTTGTACCAGTTGACCATATTTCACTCGCAACAGCATCAGGGAAGCTTTCTGATGGGTGCGCTGTATTAGTTCCCGCAGTTTTTGGCGCCTATTGGTCGAGCAGCATGATCACAAACACACACACACACAAAAACTTATGCAAAGACATGCTGTTCACACATAGCAAAAGGAAAAAAGAGTCCGCAGTAATGGTGCTTGCGCTGCTGTGAATACTGTCGCTCGTATCATTTGAGCTAGTTAAAAAGGGCTGGAGGCAAGTGGTGTTTCAAAATGTACCGAATTCGGTGGCGTTATGAATTAATTACCAAGCGTGCTAGTAACTTTTTTCTCGGTGAAAATGCGAAGTTCTACACGATGTGCGAGATGGGGAAAGCCACATTACAAAGTGTTGTATGAAACGTGAGAAATTATAACAAAGACTGAAAAGGCTTCAGATGTCTCGGTACTTTATTTTGTAATGCGAGTGAGCTATTACACAAATGAGATCAACTGGTTTAGACAAAGGAACAGCAAAAGTATCACAAGTATTTATTCTCCATGCCCAAGGCAAACATGTAATGAGGTGCAACCCTCAGTCAATTATAATCTGATAGAAATAGCAAGCCCACTTTAAAACACTTGTCACCTTTTTGGAAATTATTGCTATTAGGCATCAGAGATGCACAAGATATGGAAGAAGATGGCGCTCAGTGATCTTTCATGCAGTCTCTGACTGCAGTACATGTATTCTGAAAGTTGCACGAGATTGTCATGCTCAAACTGGTCCTGTGTGTTATGGGAATGACAAAATGGCCAAGCCATTCAACATAAAAACATAAAGTGCTTATTTTGATCAGATTTTTATTGTTAAATTACATCATATATACAATATTGTGAAGAGAATTCAGTCTGTGATTGTGGTAATGATGTGGGCTTGTGCCTTTTACACACAAGAAAAATTTCTCCAAAAGATAGAGGCTTCAATGTGGACGCAGGATGGAACTGACAGGCACGTTGCACATGCAGAAACATATAAAACACGCTCCAGTCTAGTGTCTGTTCACGCACCGACAGCACACTCACTAGCTCACGGCACATCAGCTGTGCAGCGACGCTGTCACCATAGATCCCGGTGTATATCGGGACAGAGCCCCAGTGCTAAGATGAACGTGCCTTAGATTAACCACACAGATGCCTTCAAGGAACATGGTTCCTATCCAGGCAACTCAAGCTGGAGCTATTGCAGACAGTCTAGCACATGCACTGCTCATCGGCACCTAGTATGTTCAGCTGTGAACATATCGGGAAGCTCGGTGAGGTTGCTTCTAAGCAAGTGTCCAGGCATAGCAGTAACACAGTCAGGCTCTTCAAGTCTGAAAAAGCAGTGGTATGGAGTGCACTGATGGAGCACAGTGTCAACACAGTCTTCATTCAATGATGGTTTGTGTGATTAATAATTTTTGGCATTAAGAAACCATGTTATTCTTTCACTTCATAAATCAAGTCAAATACAGACATAATAGAATGCGTCGTGTTCTTCATCAGCATCATCAAGGTTATTGACGGTGTTCGAGTAAGCAATCTACAGATAGAATATATAAGTGAGTACGGAAATGTTTGCATGCGCAGCTCATTGACCGAACTGTCCGAATACGTTTTTCAAAAGTGTCAGACAGCATGGCACGTGGCCAGTGACTGCAGTGAAGTGTCTTCCATATAAAAGTGGTTAGCCTTTCACAACAGACCAAATAGGATCACTGTTTGTCTTGATGTTTCTTTGTCCTCTTGTTAATGAATTGAAACCAATTTGCCCAAATATCCGTGTTGCCCACCCTCTGTAATAACAAAATGGTTGACAAAGTGTGGGTGCTGTAACAGATTCCCTTAGCACTTATGTGTGTACGCTTCATTCCCTCTCCTGCAATCCAAGCTAAGCAGGAGGAGAGGGCAACTGCAAAAAAGTGGGGAAGGGGTACAAGGAGACGATGACAGACTACAATGATGAATTGAGTTGGTCATAACTGTTTTTATTGCCAGGTAGTATGGTGTGACCTGTGGCAGGCCGATGGAGAGGCCTGGCAACACGACGGTGTGTAGAGTGGCAACACGCAGACGAAACTCTGGCGATACTAGAGAATGTTGTCCAACATTTATTTTACCACATTTTTAAAGGAGGGGAAAAAGGGGTTATTGGCAAGCATTTCATGAGTCACATGACTTGTGTGGCCACACAGTTTGGCTACAGAAAACGGACATCATTGGACACCTCACTCCATCCAGTGGCATAGACAGGCATCGTGAATACACTGGTGAATTGAAATGACACCCGAGGTTGCACGACACAATAGGAAAGAGGCTATTCCATGAAAAGGGGGAAGGGGGGAGGGGTTGTACACGTGTCTTTGAATTATGGTTGTCAGAGTGTATTAAACTTTTTAATATGGTGTGACTGCACAGTTTCTATATCTTGGGGACTGGTAGTTTGTAGGATGTAAAGTTTGAGGTGTACAGTTGAAGTCGTGAACTGCTACATTAAAATGTTGTGCCAGTGCTTTTGGTTATTTTTTCCCTGTGTCCATGCGATGCCTATTCAATCTAACATTAACAGCTTGTCCTGTTTTGCCAACGTACCACTTGTGACAATGAACTATCGATCTTCAACATTTCAACTAGTAACAGTAAAGCTGTATTTTATGTGATGTGTATCAATCAATCATTTTATTTCCTTTTGATTAGGAGGAGTACAGGACTAAAAGTTTAAGAGCTTGGCGAGGTCCCAATTCCGTTCACACGTTGGCAAAGCAGCAGGAATGGCAGACAATCATGCATGAATATTATCAAGTAAACTTATACGAATAACACTGCAAAAACTATTACAAAAATAATTCATTTCATTTATTGGTACCCTCAGGACCGGGAGGTATTACAGAAGGGAGTGGTATTAGCACAAAAAGAAAAAAAAAGAAAAAAAGGAATACTGAAATGCAGCAATGGATATGCAGTTATTACAGTGGTGCGGCTCCTACTCACACAGTCTTAGCTAATGGCGTTTTTAAACAATTCATGATCTTGGATAGTTGCTATTGATGCGGGAAGGTGATTCCATTCGATGCTCGTGCGTGGTAGGAATGATGTGTGGCAGCCATTTGTTCTGCATAATGGAACTCCGACCTTGTGACGATGATCTAGACGAGGTGATACATAATCTGGTAGTGAAATAAGTTCATTATGTAATTGGGGATGGTGATATATTTTGTGAAAAAGACACAAACGAAGAAACTGACGGCGAGATGCTAAAGATGGTAGGTTCGAGCTAGATTTCATTGCCGATATGCTTGCGGTGCGGTTATAGTTGGAAAGAATAAAGCGAGTAGAATTATTTTGAACCGTTTCGACTGAGTGTAATAGATTGGCAGGTACAGGATCCCAAATCGAGGCAGCATATTCTAATTTAGGGTGAACCAATGTTTTGTAGAGGGTGAGTTTTAAGGAAAAAGGAGCTTTAGCAAAGTTGCGACGTAGGTACCCAAGCATTCTGTTTGCTTTTCCAATTATGTGTTTTAGTTATTTATTTATTTATTTTATTTATCTCTCTGTCATCTCTCATGTGTTCAGTGTGGATTGCCCAATTTAAAGGGCTGGTTATGTGTAAGCCTAGATATTTATAGCTAGAAACGGTATCCAATGCAAGATCATTGAGAGAGTAGGTAGGAGGTGAATTAGTTGTTCTAGACACTCACATAACCTTGCACTTGTTGACGTTGAGTTGCATTAACCATTTTTGACACCAAATTGAGACAGCAGTAAGGTCAGTTTGAAGAGCAGTTACGTCGGCATCGGAGCTTAATTCACGGAATATTACACAGTCATCAGGAAATAGGTGCACATGAGAGTAAAGACACGTAGGTAAGTCGTTAACATAAATAAGAAAAAGAAGAGGACCAAGCACTGACCCTTGCGGTACTCCAGATTGAACAGCGGTGTGGCGGCTATTCACCGCGTTAGCAGCAACATACTGAGAACGATTGTTAAGAAAGAATTCAATCCAAGTTAGTAATTTCCTGTCAAGGTTTAGTTGATGTAATTTGTGCATTAATAAACTGTGGGAAACCTTGTCGAACGCTTTAGAAAAATCCAAAAATATGCAGTCGGCCTGAGAAGAGTGATCCAGTATAACGTTCAGTTTATGTGTGAAAGATGCCAGTTGGGTCTCGCAGGAGTATGTTTTTCGGAAACCATGTGTGCTAGGGTAAAGAATGAATTAGATTCGAGGAATTTTACAAGGTTCGAAAATAAGATGTGTTCCAATATTTTGCACGGTATACTGGTAAGTGATATAGGTCAGTAATTAAGTGGGGAATGGCGGTTACCAGCTTTGTGAAATGGAGTCACCTTCCCGATCTTCCATTCAGCGGGCAAGCAACTTTGGTTGAGTGACTGCTGAAAGATCATTGTTAGTATGACCGATGAAGAAGCACACGTACTCTTTAAGAATTTCGGGTCAATTTGGTCACAACCAGGAGCAGAAGACAGTCTTAAGGACCT